ATAGTCGAATTACAGTTGTAGATATCTTGAATTGGATTTTTGACGAGTCAAAACTCAGAGATATCTGCAAATATTTTTCAATGGAAGTCAATGGAGGAATATGATTAGTCATAATATATTTGCAGATATCTCCAATCTGATTTCGTACTAGTACAATTGTAATTGCAGATATCTCTAATTGTCATTCTGACAAGTCGAATTATAATAATGACTTGTCAAAATATATAATTATGTCAAAATATATAATTATATCTCTAAATATATTTATGGATAGTCAGAACAAGGTTTAAATGTTAAAACGGCTTGCCATACGCTCTCTCACTCAGCAGCACAGTGGAGAGTTCTCTAGTTATATCGTTTCAGTCGTTTGTTATGCAGTGACATGCAGTCAAATATTTCGCCAAACAGTCCTTAGGGATGCCGTGACACGCAGTCAGATATTTTACCGAACAGATCCGCCACTTTTGGCGCTCATAAACAATCAAAGCTCTCGTGCTGCAGGAATGAGGAGGTCTGCTGAAGGCGCGCAGCTGGCGTGCTGTGAGGAGTTTGCGTCTTTAATAAACTACGGCAGTTTGCGATCACTGAACAGTAAGAATGATTAATAAATCCATATCAAACAGTCCCTTAAAAGTCACGTCTCGCTTTCGGTTTCGGGCTTTGGCGCGTTTCGCGCTCACACACAAGCGTACCGCGCCAAAGCCCAAGTGTACCGCGCTCAGGCACACCTCTTCCAACCGGGCCAGGGCCGGCCAAGTGAACCGTGCTTGAGCGCGATTCAGCGCACTCACACTTCTCAAACGATCCGGGAAACGGGCCTGGGCACGGTACGGATGGCATAGTGTGAGTAGGCCCTAAGTTAAATCAACTTGTTGGTTTTAATGTTTTTTAAAGTACAGTAACTAGTCACTTTTTACAGTGTTTGTTTTGTGTAAAGACTTTACAGAAATTAGCATCTTACTCCACCCCATTCGCCTGACGTGGATTCAGTTTCGCATTAGTTGAATCTGGCAACTGGTTGATTCTTACCTCGTCTGTGAGCAGATCACTGCAGATACTCCAACTATTTCCTTTCATGTTGAAACTGACCAGAACAAATAGATTTCTATCTCTCAGCACTTAACTCTTCACAGGGATCAAAGTGGTACATCCCCCACTAAACGACTTGGGATACTTCTGTGTCTCCCCCCCCTACTGTGATGAGGTTGTTTCACGTATGCCTTTATCACAGATTTACCACATCTTAGGCCGTTCTCACACTAGGTACAGTTGCCTCGAACCTGGCCAAAGCACGCTTGTCACCCCTCCCGTCTCCCCCGACGGCCCACACTCACACCACAATCGGGCCTCGGCACGCTTGCGTCATCGCTGCTGCGCTGTTGAGTGAAAAGCACTGTTATTCAGCAGCACAGTGGAGGTTTCTCTAGTTATATCATTTCAGTCGTTTGATATGCAGTGACATGCAGTCAAATATTTCGCAAAAAAATTTTCACCGGCCAAGTGAACCATGCTTAAGCCCAATTCAGCGCACTCACACTTCTCAAACGATCCGGGAAACGGGCCTGGGCACGGTACCGATGACATATGTGAGTAGGCCCTTAGTCTCTAACACCCCAAAAAACAAAGAAGATCATCATTCACACCATCTTGCAAGTTGTTTATGGCTCGGCTCCTCTAAGTCATTTATTTGATCCTCATACCTGTTCACACTGGATGTTAAGATGGTTAAGATGGTTGAATACACATTTGATCGGATTGCTCTTGTTGTGGGAAATGATTCTGGTCTGCAAAAATATATTCTAAGTTTTCGTCTTTAAACATAAAGAAGTCCTATGGTCTCAGAAGTCTTAAGGCAAAGCAATTTTAGGGCCCTATACACCTGGCGCAAGAAGGCGCAAGGTGTGATTTGTTGCTATTTTCAGTCCAGCAAACCCCTAGTTTTCACAGTTTGCACCACGTTGTTTAAATAGCAAATCCATTTGTGCCACTTTGTGGACTCATGGGCGTTCCTTTCTGTGTTAAGGTGCATTTTTGGAGAAGCTGAAATAGACTGTGTCATTGACCAACTAAAGTCCAGCACAGAGCGCGTTAGTTATGCGCCTATGCAGGTCTTTAGGATTAAAATGTTAAAAAAATTAATTATTTTCTACACAAATAATAAAACCACTGCCTCCATGCCTTCTTCATCTCAGGGGGCTTTTTTCAGTTTATTCATGACCATTTGCATTGCATGTTATTATTATTATTAGTAATATTTATTATTTGCATATTTATATTTGTTTTAATAAAAACAAGTTTACATTTGTCCACCTGTCGGGTTTTGGAGACGTACGTGTCGCTATATGAGGCATAAGAATTGGATGTATGTTTGGATATAACGCCGTTTTTGACCACACTTCGTTATTATTATTCATTTATCTATTTGCTGCAAATTAGAACTAAATTTAGAAATAGTTTTGAAACAAATCTTTGCACTTACCAAACAAAATTAAATATGTAGGCTAATGGATGTCTTCAGTGGAGTGTGTACAACACCCTATCCACAAAAGTAAAAGAGTAAAGTAAAGAGTAAAAGTAAAGTAAAGAGAAAGTAAAGCAGCTGAATTGAGGAGGCTTGTTTTTATCCTCATGTTGCAGATTGTTTGTTTAACTGTTTTCTGGCAAGTAAAGCGTTCAGTTTTTCCACCTACAAAGCCATGTAAATAGCAAATGTGCCATAGCGTGATGCAACTGACTCTTAAAGGGAACGGGAGATGAGACTCTAATTGGTTTTATGCATGTTATACTCAAAACACACCCATAGCTCATTAAGAGAATAAGCACAACCTTGTTAGACCATGCACCGGGGCTTAAACCGTATCTTTCAATTCTTAAAATAGCAAAAGTGGATTTGGACCCACCCTTAATGTAGACTTTGCGTCTAGATCGTTAAAATAGAGCCATTATTGGAACAGCATCAGCAATAACCGAGACGGGTCGATTGAGCGTCTGAGGATATACCTTCTTTTTCTTTTGGTTGCCATATACTTCCCATTAATCAAATCTCCTCCATCTCTTCTTTTCTCCACAGAAATCCCAATTTTTAGAGTTGTTGTAGAAAAAAAAAGGTTTTCTTAAAAATAAAGAAATCAGTAGAAAAAATAAAGAAGCAGTTTATAGTTACAGTATCAGTAAGAACGATTTGAGTGTCTGCGGGCATGTTCTTTCTCTCTTGGATGTCACATACATTACATACATCATATCTCTTTGTTTCTACCGAATTTCTCATCTTAAAGGTCATGGAAAGTTAATCTGTGTTTACCCCACCTTTGGCGGATACAGTTGTACAGATGTCAGCAGCAATTCTATGTCCTCGACCCCTAGGCCAGCAACTTAAGGTTCAGTCGACGGCAGCATGGATGGATCTTGATCATAGGATATCGGAAATGTCCAACTGCTGGTTAAGCACCTCATGATGGTTTACAGTTGAGCGTGGGCACTTGCACGAGCATGAGTTGCACATAAAACAGAAAGCAAGTGCCCTCATGACCTTACTTCTATACATCTGTTCCCATTGTGCTACATCATCCTGCACTCTTCTTTTTTTATCCCTGACTGCATTTGCACAGAGTGACTTTTTATATACCAAAGCATGCATAAATAAATTAGAATAACGATACACACAAAAATGCCACTAATAATGCCACAGGTATGGGGTAATAATAAAATACATAATGCATAATAATAAGTCACCTAAATAAGCATATAAATGAGAGTAAAACGAGTTACAAATATGTGTGAATATGTGCTGATAAATATAAACATGCAATAGTAAAATCTTTTGACATACATTGTAGTGGCAAGTTGCTCTGGATCTCAACAAATGTCTTCTACGTTTCAAAAAGGAAGCTGAGGTCTTCGAAGTTCTCAAGTTTAAGCAGTTTATTGGTACAGCAGAGATGGTCGATCGAGCTCTCTCTTACCTAATGTGCAAAAACCCACAGCTTATATACTGTTTCTTGTTCACAGTTGTCACGAGTTCTGATGTAACATCACGCCTTTCCCGGCTCCAATAGAATTCTAGCTTTTTAATTGGGAGCTGGATGTTTTTCTGTTCTGCTTGCTGGGAATCAGCAAAAACTTGTTTGTTACATATCTTAAAGTCATGCTTTAGTTGACATATAGCGTGTGCTTACGGCAACCATCATGTGTTGCATGTGATTTAGAGGTTGTCTCCATGCTTTCTGAATGATTTTCTTTGTGTATGTTATTTTATTGAGGCTTGTTTTTGTCTTGGACAACACATACATTGTCTGAATGTATTGCATATGCTCTGTCACACTCTCATGTTCCACTTTAGGCGCATGACTTGCTGTGCTTCAATTGCATGTCAGTCTGCAAGGATTAAACAGTATATTTTAGTAGAAACCTGTGTGTTAATAGTGGTTATGTCTCATGATTGAATAGCGATTACATAATAATGAGTACATAATAAAAGTTCCTCTATATGCATTAAAGCGTTAACAAACATCTGTCAGCAGCTGTTTAGTTTAAATCGGTGAGTTTTGGTTGCTCAGTGTCAGAAATTGCTCTTTCGGCATTGGCTTTTGTTCTGTAAATGAAATAAGTGAAGTTTCATAAACTAATTTCGAGAGGAGCATGTGATAAGATCGACTACAGCTGATCTGTATCGCTAATTATTAGCTAGCCTATCAGATCATTCTAAAAATACTATAATTATCCTGCCTAAACTTCATTCCCTATCTTAGTTTTTGGAAACAGTTTTTGGAAACCAATTTTACTTGTCTATATTTCAGTCTCACTTCCCACCAGGCCATGCAGTTCGTTAAGTCACCATACATGGATTAGGATCTTGTCTAATGATAATCCAACGTTAAAGTAGTCACGTATGGCCTAACTGTTTATTGTATACAAAGAGTATAAAGTCAGACTTCGTAATGTATATGAATGCATTCCCACTACATGTTTTATCAAAATGTATGTCTTTAAACATTTGTCAGATGAGGTGACACGTGATTTTGCGTATGGAGAGACAGACCCTTTAGTCAGGAGATGCCGTCTGCTACCGTGGCTGCCTGAAGAACTGGATGCTGTGAGCGATGACGTGCAGGAACCGTCTGACCTTTACTATGAAGTGAGTGAATTTAAATATAGATATGATGGATTGTTTTTTTTGTCTATTTGAAGTTTTCTCTATATCTATATCTCTTTATTTTGTAGACTATTCTACAGGAGAACAAAGAAAAGCTTCCTGTAGACATCCAGCCTTATTGTGTACCAGATGGAAAAGTGCTGAAGTAAGTTGTGTTTGATGCCAAGTATTGCTTCATTTTAGTGTTTGCAACTCTCTAGTTTTTTTATTTATTGTATTTTGTAGAAAGGTTTTTCATTTAAAACTGTTTGTGCATTATTTGTTTGTCAGATTTATTTTGCTTGCATTTTTAGAATGTTAAGAAGGCACAAAAGTCTAACCAAGTTTTAGGAACAACAAATAATATCTTCTAGTTCAGGGGTGGCCAACCCTGTTCCTGAAGAGCCACCTTCTGTTGTGGAAATCTGTTCTGGTTCTTAGATATTATTCAGAAAATAACCAAAGTCTACAAAAGAAGTCTGAAGTCGTTCTGAGTTACTCAGGTTGAAGCGTATATTGTCACAAACGCAGTTTGCAACAACAGAGGCGATATGATCATATGTCCCACTGATCAGCCTCTTTCTTTAGTACTGTCCTCCTCCCTTATGATCAATATCACATACATCACATCTCACCAATATCTACAGTTTGATCATTAGTCTTAATTTCTGTGTCCCAGCTGCATCCTGCTCCCCATACCAGGCTGACGTATACCCTTAGTATAGTTTTTAATTGTTATTTAACCCAAGGATAACCTTACCATGTCATCTGTAGATAAGTCCTTTGTGTCTTATGGATAATAGCCCCTCTATGGTCCTCTCTATGATCTCTGGGATGATACGGGTGCTCTGGTGTGGGTGCCCCTTGAGGACAGCAGGGCATGTAATGATCTAATAACCATCTCCCTTTAGGCATATCATATCTCATAGCCTATTTTCCTAATAGAAGCTGACATTATAAGGTAGAAGTCAGGTAAAACATCACTTACATAGATAATGCTGAGATATGTGTCTGAAACTTCAGTTAGACAGATTACACTTCCAATAGAATAAAGTTATATATAGTCTAAGCATCATATGGCATTGGAGTAATGAGTGCATTCATTATACATTCATATAATCAGTCACAAACACATATACTGTTAATTATATATATTGTTACACATATACTGTTAATTTTCACAACACTTCTAGCAGATTTTAGTTGCAACCCACATCAAACACACCTGCCTGTAATTATCACGTGGTGTTCTGGTCCTGATTAATTGTTTTAGGTGTGTTTAATATGGGTAGCATCTGAAATCTGCAGTAAGGTAGCTCTCCAGGAACAGGGTTGACCACCCCTGTTCTAGTTGATCATTTGGTATCAGAAGTATCTTATATGAAAGGCAAAGGCCTCTAGATTATGCTTATTTTAGCAGTAAAATATGATCATGGCTTAACTTTTAGTGAAGTTTATTTAATAACTAATTTCAAGATAATCACATGGGAATGATTGAACACAGCTGGTCTTGCATTAGCCAGTTCATGATTCAACCTAATCAGACGATTCCTAAGTCACCATAAATACCCTAAGTTCCATACCCCAGCCATCTCATTTTGAAGAAACCCACCTTCCACCCATTCTCCTCCTCCTTTCCTATATGGGTGGCACGGTGGCCCAGTGGTTAGCACTGTTGCCTCACAGCAAAAACGTCACTGGTTCTATTCCTTGCCAAGCCAGTCGACGTTTCTGTGCAGAGTTTACATGTTCTCCCGGTGCTCATGTGGGTTTCCCCCGGGTCCCCTGGTTTTCTCCCACCGTTCCAAAACATGCAACTAAAGTTAATTGACTAATCCAAAACGGCACCATAGACTGCTCCTAGTAAATAGTTATCTTTTGTCTGATATGTCTGATAATATTTCTTCTTCTGGAGAAAGTCTTATTTGTTTTATTCCGGCTAGAATGAAAGCAGTTTTAATTTTTTAAAAACCATTTTAGGGACAATATTATTATTCCCTTTAAGCTAATTTTTTCCCGATAGTCTAAAGAACAAACCATCGTTTTACAAACACTAGCCTAATTACCCAAGGGGACATACATGTTTCTATATTGTCTATAAAAAAATGTCTTTAAAAAAATTTCCATGGAGATATATTCTCATTTTTTTTAAACTGATGTTTTAATCATTAATTTGTTCATGCAATGATTAAATCATTTGTTCATTCATTTGTTTTTTGTTTATGCATTATACATATATGCATTTTTAAAATATTTGTGTGTGAGTGTGTGTGTTTAGAAGTGAAACTCGAGAGCATGCCTGTGCAAGAATTTTTGTACTCCCCCAAATGCACCCCCCTCCAACCCAGAATGAGCCATCTATAAATCTTAGGTCACAGGGTCAACTATAATGCTGTTTGTGTAGGTGCTCGTCCTTTTTCAAGGCTGGGAAGATTTAAAAGAATCTGGCTATTTGAGCTATCTGGACAGTACACAGACATCCAGCATTTACTGCATGCTTGAAAATCACTTTACGAGCAGTCAATTACAATCACTTCAACTCTGAATACAGCTGCACTCTTTAATAGCGTGTGTCATTTTACTCTGTGGCTGATGTCTCTGTCATACTTTGGTTTATTTGAGTTGTGGTTCAACTTCAGCGTGTTTGTTGTTTATATTATGCATGGAGCCTAATATTTGTAATAGTATCGGAGGTAATATCTCACTCATGCATTTTTTTTTAGCAAAGTGATTAGATATTGTATGGGGATTGACAGTTAAGACCCTAAAACAGATATGATGAATGTAAGAACAGATATAATATCAATAATAATGATTATTAATAAATAATAATAATAATAATAAACTTTATTTTTTAATAGCTCCTTTAAAAGTAGCATCTCAGGGCACTTCACAGATATATAAAATGTGCAACAGTAAAAGATAAAATGATAAATGCAAAAACAAATTGTAATAGAAATAATTAAAAACACTTAAAATAATAATAACAGTAATATTTCTAGGAATCAAATAAAAATGTAATTAAATTATGGATGCATTTAAATAAAGAAGTGTTTACTGTCAAATAGTTTACAGACCTCTCTCATTGGTATACACATTTAATACATGTAGTTATATTCTATAGTGTTCTCTGTACACTGTAAAAAATTCTAGCTGCTTTCATTTTTTTAGTTGAATTAAATTACCTTTTAAAGTCATCATCTCAACTTACATCAGTCAAAAAAACAAAAATATTAAGTTAAACTTTATATACCTTAAAAGATTTAGTTGAAACTTGATTAACTTAGTAAAATAAGTTAAAACAACATAAATATGTTTGTTGTCTTGACTTTTTGTCCTAACATTTTAACAGTGAAGTATAACAGAAGATCACTGACTACTTTTTTGTTTTAGGTTAGAGATTTCTGGCTGGTTAAAGCACAGACAAACTTAGAAAATCTAAAAGCATTTAAAGCATGTCTCTGATAATTATTTAGGGACCGCTAGGGCCATTTTTAGGTGAGAAATGTTTCCCCAGTGACATGGATTGGCCTTTCTGTGCAGGTTCTCAGATGTCACCTGGTCCGTCTTGGAAGCAGTTGTTCACATTGTTGATTATTAGTCCTGAAAACATTGAGAATGCATAGTTGCTTCAAGGTTGAGTGGCTCATATCAGGGACATATCCCAAAACATACAGATAACGAGTGCAGTTTCTCAAAGTAGGATTTAACTTAAGGGGTAGTTCACCCAAATGTGTAAATTTACTCACACTCTAGTGGTTTCAAACCTTTACAAGTTTCTTTATTCTGTTAAACGCTAAATAACATATTTTAAAAGAGAGCTAAAACCTGCTTATGAAGAGAACCCTCTTTAAATAAAAAAGGAGGAAGGGCAAAACCTATTCAAGTAACATGATATAGAGTCTAATTACTGAGATGTCAAAAACTCATGACTAAGTTAAATACTCATGAACAACTTTATTAATGATCACTCAAAAAGATGTTTGTGAATATATGTTGAATATATGTTCCACTTCTTCTGGGTGTAGATCGATATGTGTATTTTAATGGTTATTAAAATGCATAACACAGATTATGTTATTGTACATGCATGCATTGAGTATGAAATAGTATGTAAAATAAAACTAATGTAACAAAATTTGAATAGACATGTAACTTGCTTAACTTTTTTATGCTACTTTTGTTGTTATTTATTTTACATGTAGTAGGTGATTAAACTGGTAGAAGTGCTTTAAGTGTTTCTTATTTGCTGTGTGTGTGTGTGTGTGTGTGTGTGTGTGTGTGTGTGTGTGTGTGCGTGTGTGCGTGTGTGCGTGTGTGCGTGTGTGTGTGTGTGTGTGTGTGTGTGTGTGTGTGTATGTGTGTGTATTCACTAGATTGCCTTTTCTGTATCATAAATCAGGGTTTACACTGAGATGAAGCAGGTTTTCGATCATCTGAAACATCCACGCTTCCAGTTCACTGAAAATGAGGAAGAGGCTGACATAATCTGGGCTTTCTCCCATATCCGAGAATATCGGTAAGCAGTTTTACACATTATTTATCACCAAATTTAACTCTCATGCAGAAAAGGTCTGCTTTGCCAATGTTTTTTTTATCATTATTTTTCTAAGATCACTATGTTTTACAGAAATCCTGACAGCAGTTATAATTCCAAAAGACTAGCACAAGTAATTTTCCTTGCCCCTGGCTTAATTTAATTTAATTTAATTTAATTTAATTTAATTTAATTTAATTTAATTTAATTTAATTTAATTTAATTTAATTTAATTTAATTTAATTTAATTTAATTTAATTTTATTTTATTTTATTTAATTTTATTTTATTTTATTTTATTAATTTTATTTAATTTTATTAATTTATTTTATGTAAATATATTTTTTACTGCTGTACCTTTTACATATTTGTATTTATATATTATTCTGCATTTCTGTTACGGCCCAATGTGTGTTAGTTTAATTTATTATTATATTTTATTTAAATATTATTATTATTATTTCTTATTTATTATTATTATTATTATTATTATTATTATTATTACTACTATTTTTTTTTTTTTGACCTAAACATTGTCTTTGATGCAACAATTTTTAATTATACTATTTGATTCTGAGAGGCACAAAAATATGAACTAGTTGTGTTTTCTGCTGATAGATTGGAACAATTGATGTCTTAGTTATTCTTTATAATTGATACTGTAACTCTGACTAATATGCATCAATAAAACAGAGTTAAACTAAAAAAGACTAACACAAGTTATTAAATCTGACTCTTAATCAGTAATTTTTTTGGCATTTAGTTATTAATTCAATTTTCTGACATTTCATTTGCTCACCTGATTCATTTACTCTTAGGAAACTAAGTGAGGAACGGCCTCATGTTCTGCTCAACCAGTTCCCATGTGAGACGGTTCTTACTACTAAAGACTGCTTGGCGTCTGTGGCGCGGAGAGCTGGGGGAGGTCAGGGGCCCCCATGGCTCCCTAGAACCTTCAATTTACAGACTGAGCTGCCGCAGTTTATCAGACATTACCAGGAGAGGCAAGAGAGGTGAGAGTGTCAGTACTACAGCAGAAGTGTTCTCAAACAGTGTTATCTGACTTATGGGAACATATAGGTGACTTCTCAGATAAAATAAAACAATGCACACACAATTGTAAATTAGAGAAATAAAATATTCACTTGGCTTCACTTTTTTATAAGTACAAATGCAAATCTTTTTTATTCATTAGATGTCATTTAAATTCAGCTTTTTATCAGTAAGTGTCACAAATTTTGATATCTGACTTAAAGTGGGAACCTTGCTTTTAAATAATGAGACCGATCTATTTATAGCATACACTTGTTTCAGTTCCGTATTTAGCTGTTAGAAAATGCCTTTTAGAGCATGCTAGAGCTTGCAAAGTACATTTCCGTTTTGACTTCCGTTAATTGTTAAATGTTCATTAAAGAGATGTTAGTTATACACTGCTGTTTGGATTTAAGCAAGCAATTACTTAATATTCTGGATCTTTAATGCAGTGATTAATGTTTCTGCCTTGTTATTTTGATGGTTCTGTGTGTAGCTTTGTTCCTTTAAACAGCCATATGAGAAGATGTGCACCATTACTATTCCAGGGAGACAATGCAGATATTCAGTGGATTCAAATATTGAAAGAAGGCTTCAGGAAATGAGCTTGACCCCACTGAACTTCTTTGGGACGTGATAGAGTAGACTTACCAGAGTCCTTCTTCTCAGGGTCAGATAATGAGGAAGGATCTTGAGCTTTTATTACAGTGTGCAGATGTCATAGTGTTGTTTAGACGCCCACATACGCTATCACAAGTTTTATTCAAAAAAGATTTGCATGCTTTTTTCAGTTTAATGGGGGTTGAGGTCAGTGGTTGGACAATTCATAAAGCTTTCTTTCACAGATTGAGCTTGACAAATCCTGGCTTTGTCATCCTGGAATATGGTTATGGGATTAATCTTCTGACATGATTGTTAATAAAAGTTCAAATAAAATTAGCTATAAACAGCATTAGTTAGGGCTAAAATAATGCATTAATCAGTGCAATAACAATTCAATTGTCGACAGAAGTATTTTATTTCTTAATTCCATTCATTCATTCATTCATTCTTTCGTTTGTTCGTTCCTTCCTTGTTTCATTCATTCATTCATTCATTCTTTCATTTGTTCGTTCCTGCCTTGTTTCATTCATTCATTCATTTTCCTTCAGCTTAGTTAGTTTAGTCTTTAGTTTATTAAATTCACCTAAAGCGCATGTCTTTGGATTGTGGGGGACACCGGAGCACCCAGAGGAAACCCATACAAACACAGCAAGAACATTCAAACCCAGCCGGGACTCAAACCAGTGACCTTCTCGCTGACAATGCTAACCACTGAGCCACTCTACCACCCTTAGTGCAAAATATATAGGAATATAGTAAAGTAATGGCATAAAATGATACCTAAAAACATAATGAATAATAATGAAATCATCTAAATAGATACACAACTGAAAGTAATGTGACCATCAATACATTAATAAATTCCTCAATATTATCTATCTCTTAGAAAAGATTGCAGTGTGGCAATTTTCTTTAAAGAGGCTTTCTCTGTGGTAAAGAAACAAAGTCTTACCCGGGATGTCTTTTCAAAGTTTTATTCTTTATAAAGACGGTCACAATCATACAGCAACAACCGTTTCTGCAGAATGAGACACTGAAGCAAAGTGTGTTCACCCTTTTATCTGGTTTGTACTGCTTACGAGGTCAATTCTAATTCGGCCCATTCTGTACTGCGTCAGGTGTTTCTACTGTTTCTGCCCTACAGTATGTCCCTTCTCAACATAAACCTGACAAACAGATCTTCCCCAAGCCCCCTACACATATAGCCTATTTAGATGAACTCTTAGTATTACACATCACATAGCCTTTTAAGGTGAATCCTTAGGATGGGGACAAGGACCAGATAGTCGCGTACAGAAATGTGGCTGTATATTAAAATGTACACATAGCCTTTTAAGGTGAAAATCAATACAAGTGACTTTTCCATTGAACTCACACGTCTAAAAATGAGTCGTAAAAAAGTTTACAAAACACATGCTCATCTAAAAATGAAATTCCATTACACGTGTTTATTAGAAAATTATGCATAAAAAGATTATCCTAAAATAAAGTCTGACATATGAGTCTTCAATATTGTGTCTGATATTATTTGCTGTGTGTAACTTTGGTTTAGAGCGCTGGATAACCACTGGATCTGCAAGCCCTGGAATTTGGCTCGAGGTCTGGACACACACATCACAGACAGCCTCGACTACATAATCAGACAGCGAGAGAGCACACCTAAGGTAAAGTGTACAAGAGCAAGACTGCCAGTTATATACACACATGGAACTATGTAGATAGCTTAAGCACAGAGTATACTTCAGTTTTTGCGAGTATGGAAGGGCGTGCATACAGATATCATGTAGATATAGCCATCAGAACAAAAGCATGCACCGTAGCAGTTTATAACCTCACACCACTGAGCTCTGGCTTTACGCTCAGAAAACTATAGATGCCTGTGTATTGTAGCTTGTGACATCCAAATGGTCTAACCTACTTCTTCACAATCCAAATTGGTCCAATTCAAAATTCCAAGAAAGGTTTCATCTGACAAGTGAAGCATGCATGCACATCCAGAGATACCTATAGGAGAGATAAACAAGTGATGTGTTTCGTTCCCCGCCGTTTAATCAGCAGTCAAGTCAGAAGGTCTTGATTTCAGAAGATGCTTTCATTGTCAGACAATAAAGCGAGAGGTGTCGTGGTATTTTCGTCCATCACTGTTCAGTCAAGTTTGATGGTCTTTATTTTAGAAGTGTCTTTATTGTCAGACAACATATCCAAGAGACAGCAGCGTCTCTCTCTCTGAACCTTTATATCCCGTCTTTATGTCCTCTCTCCCTCCTACAGCTGTCTTTACATATAGTTCACATTTGTCAGGCATGACTAAAGTTTGTTTCAACCCTCCAAACTAGACCCTTAACAACATATGTCTTTTGCATGCATACTTGATGGTTTCAACATACGTTTCCTTCATGTGGCCACTTTTCTCGTGCATTCCTTGTGACACCTCGTCTGTTTATTCAGGCCCTCTCTCCTATATAACTCTATGGTTATTTTAATGTTATATAAACCTATGAGTAGTTTAGAAACATACTATTTGGTTATTTATTCATTCATTTTTTTCTCAGCTTAGTCCCTTTATTTATCAAGGGTCGCCACAGCGGAATGAACCACTAACTATTCCGGCATATGTTTTATGCAGCGGAGTAATCCAGTACTGGGAAACCCCTATGTTCACTCATTCTCACACGCTCATACACTACGGCCAATTTAGTTGATTTAATTCACCTATAGCGCATGTCTTTGGACTGTGGGGGAAACCAGAGCACCTGGGGGAAACCCACAGAAATGCAGGGAGACTCCAGAAAGAAATGCCAGTTGGCACAGCCTGGACTCGAACCAGCAACCTTCTTGCTGTACGGCAACAGTGCTAACCACTGAGCCACTGAGGTTAACTTCATATTTTAAAAGAGTGAAAATAATCTACCTCAGAGGCTGACAGACAAATGCCAAACACTCTATTAACCTGGGAATTTGTATATGTTCTCTCCCTTCCAATGCTTTTTTGTATGGGTAAAATTTTGCAAGCTTGACATTGTTTACTCCTAATAGATCATGCAGAAATGCATCTTTTGCATGCATGTATGACTGTTTCACCATGAGTTTTCCTTTATTTGATCTGGTATACCATCTGTTTTTTTACTCATTTCATCAGGCCTCTGAAGAGTATAATGTTCAATCAATATTGTATTGTGTAGCTCCTGTCTTTAGAAATTCTAGAAGTTAAATAAATAACTATAATAACTATTATATTTAAATATATAGCGTTATTGAATATCTGCATGTCTAATTAAAGTCTATTAAATGAATGCCATTAAATGTTCACCTGTTGAACTACACAATATTTCTAGCTGCTTCTCGCTTACAAGTTTTTCTGGAGGCCCATTAAGAGGCTTTACCTAGATAGTGTGGCACTGTCCCTTTAAGAAGACTGGTAAAAAGACATAACAGTGTCCTCTTTCTTCAAGGTTACATGTCATTTGGACCTTGTTGGAATGCAGGGCCTCTATGATACCCTAGATACCGAAAGGAAATATGGAGATCTATTTATTTAAGACTAAAGTTAGCCTTATTGACATCATTTCTGAATGAAGTTGTACAATTTTTGTATATTATCAGTATTATTTTTACATGGTGCAACTTATTTAAAATATGGTAATACATTTAATGTAAAATAGTATGATCACAGCAAAAATGCACAATTATTTGTGAAAAAATTTTATATTATAATTATATAATTTTTTGTTGTTTGTTGCCTGTGCAGTTTTTTTCCCTCTATAACATTGACACCAGTGTTTTTGCTTATGGTGTTCTCACTTTAAGTTTGCCTCCTTCTTCTTTCAGTAACCTAAGTTATCAAAGTCATGGTCAAATTTTGACTTGAAACCAGACATTTTCAACAGCAGTGTACTGTATGTGTGTGAAGTGTTATTTTGATGTTCATTTCAGTAAAAGGATGAAAGCAAAAATATCAAATGATGATCTTTATCCTGTCTGTGCATGTCTCTCTCAGGTGGTCAGTAAATATCTGGAGGACCCCGTGTTGTTTCACAGAGAGGAGGTGGGCATGGTGAAGTTTGACATCCGCTACATGGTGCTGCTGCGCTCTGTTGAACCTCTGCGCCTTTATGCATACAACGTCTTCTGGCTTCGTTTTGCTAACAAGTAAACCTCCACACACATCTAAACTTTTTTAAATTTGGCTCTATTTTAACTATCTAAGTCTGATGGTTAAACTGGATGTCCCAAAAGTAATAAGGGCATGTCTGAATCCACTTTTGCTATTTTAAGGATGAAAAAAATGGTTTGTGCGCTAGCGCATAGTCTAAAAGAGTTGTGCTTATTTTCTTAATGACTTTTGGTTGTGTTTTGAGCACAACATGCATTAAACCAATCAGAGTTTCATCTCCTATTCCCTTCAAGAGTCAGTTTTGTCTTGCCACGGTGCATTTGCTTTTTACATGGCGAACTTTGTAAGTCGAAAAACTGAATGGTTTACTAGCGAGAAAACAGTTAAACAAACAATCTGCGCAAGGATAAAGACTATCTACAGAATGAACCTCTTCCATTCAGCCTCTTTACTTTCACTTTACGTTACTTTAACTCTTTACTTTACTCCTTTACTTTCATGGATGAGAAAACAGTGTTGTATGCTCTCCACTGAAGACATCCATTAGCCTACACATTTAATTTTGTTTGTTAAACGCAAAGATTTGTTTCATAACTATTTCTAAATTCTCTTCTAATTTCCAGCAAACCAGTAAATGAACAATTATAATGCAGTGTGGTCAAAAAATTTGTATGCAAACGCATTTCCTATTCCTATGCCTCATAGGGTGATGCATACGTTTACAAAACCCAACAGGTAGATAAATCTAAACAAACAATTATTAAAACAAAAATAAATATGCATATAATAAATGATAATAATAACATTAAACAAATGCAATAAACTGACTGCAACAGAGCCGGATTCATAGCCTCCAAAGCATGGGAGGAGGTTGTGTTTTCATATTTCTGTAGAAAATAATTTATTTTTTATCATTTTACTCCTTCAATTTATTTCATGTGCAAAGATATTTGTGTATTGCTATTTATCCTGTGGGTATTAAGCAATGTGCACGCATGTTTTAGACCTACATAGGTGCATAACTAACACGCTCTTTAAGTAAAAAAAAAAAAAAAAACTCTGCACTATTGAATTTAGACCAGCTTTCAGTTGGTCAATGGCGCGGTCTATTTCAGTTGCCTCAAAATAGCAACATGCCAATATTGTGGAAAAATGTTCTGGATTGCAAAAATATTTTCAAATTTTCCAAAAAGAATTAAATCAAAGTCATCAAAAATAAAGAAGTTGAGGTCCTTTAAGTAATTAGGCAAAACAGTTTATTGTTACAGCATTAGTAACAATAGAGACAGCCAATGGAGGGTCTGAGAGTCTATCATACCCTCCTCTTATCTTTAGTTGTTATGCACCTACATACTCCAAATCTTCCCTGCTCCTTCTTCTTCCATAAAAATTCCTATTTTTTTTAGAGTTCATTCTAAGTTCCCCTTTGTTTGCTAGTTTGCCCTAACCGTGGCAGTCTCAGCAGAAACAGCGTTCAACAATATATCTTGTTCACTGCACATTGACCTGCCAACTGTAAGTTCAGCTTAAGTTTGCATAGATAGTTTTAGAGTTAGAAGGTATTTGGGAGTATTCTTTTGGTCCAGCATACCTGTTGTAATTCATATACTTTTTACTCTGAGCGTGGGTGCATGTACGGGTAGGTGTCTCAAACTGTGACTTAATGCAAATGCTCTCTTGACCTTGCATCCATAAATCCAGGAGCCCTCGGATATTTTTGTTGGCTTGTTGCTCCCTTACTCTTTACATGTTCTGGCTGTGTCTCCACAGAGTTTCTCTGCATTTCTCATTAGACTACAGTCTGTTTAAAAGTATAACAGGTCAAACATACAAAGGATGATAATAATGCACACATATAGGATGATAATAAAATAAATGACGTAAACGGAACAGCATAATAATAAGACATCAAATTAAACATATAAAGGAAAGAAATTAATTCATCAAAAATTCATCAATGCTTCAATAATTTCCTCAATACCAACAACGTGCCTCAACACACCTTCTTTTCAGACCAGCACGCCCATGAGTTCATAAAGTGATGTAAATAGCATTTGCTATTTAAACAATGTGGTGCAAAATATGAAAATGATAGCTGCGCCGGTTTAAAAAAAGCAAAAAATCACGTGCGCCATATTTTGCCGGGTGTATGATAGGGCGTAAAGCTACATCAGACCATGTTACTGTAATACAATAACAAATATAGTCACACTTATAGAGGTTATAAGGCTATAGAGATAACATTGATCAATGTTGAAAGAACAAAATAATGACTCCAGCCTCAAGGATTTGCAAGTGTGTTTTATTTAAAGCGTTTTATTATTTATTCTTTGATTAGTTCAATTAAAAATCTTAATAGTAACATTTCAGATAAGTCTAGTATCTAATAAATGACTGCTAGTATTTATGAATTTATGGCGGTGTGGTGGATAAGTGGTTAGCAGTGTAGCCTCACAGCAAAAAGGTCACTAGTTTGTGCCCCAGCTGGGCCAGTTGGCGTTTCTGTGTGCAGTTTGCACGTTCTCCCCTTGTCCGTGTGGGTTTCATCCGGGTGCTCTGGTTTACCCCACAGTCTAAAGATTCTGCTGTGGTGACCCCTGATAAATAAAGGGAGTAGTTTTAAAGGAAAATTAATAAAGTAATATCAATTTAATAAGTATCTAATAACTGCTAGTATCTAATGATTGCATTTTGCTATGTATTAATAGGTTTATAAAAACTTATATACTAGTATATAATAATATAAAACTTATTGTACTAGTATCATCTAATGAAGTATCTGTTGTTGCAGTCCCAACTGAAATACATTCAATTCAATTCGTCTTTATTTCTAATGGCGCATTTACAATATAGACTGTGTCAAAGCAGCTTCACATAGAAGATTATAATAAATTGAAACAGTGTCAGTTCAGTTTTGTGTTGAGGTTCAGATACATGTTAGTCAAAACTGTATATTGCTTGCATACACACTCTTTCTGCATATTACAAAAGTGCTCTGTGCAAGCATTAGTATTTAATAAATAAACAAAAAGCTTAGGAATCCATAGTATAGTTACTTTTCATAAAAAAGTCAGTTTTCTATGCCTTAAGAGTCCTTTTCATGCACTCACAGTGATCATATTATATCACCTATATTGTCTGCATTAAGGTGCTTGTCTTTTTTTCCAGACCCTTCTCTCTAGATCATTTTGATGATTATCAGAAGCACTACACAGTGATGAATTATGCCGAGGATGTGCAGCTCAAGCAGGTAGGAAAACGAAGCGTTGACTGTAAGCTTGTTTTTGGTAGAGCTGATCTCAAGACGATGAAGATAAAAGAAGTAACCAGTATTGCATGCCAAAAAATTATTAGCTCCGTTCAGTGTAACATGGATAATAATTTTATTTTCACATCTGATTTTCATAATAAGCATTGCCAAAGATTAGTTAATAATTTTTGAGGTGTGAGTTATGTGTTATAAAAGCTCACGTCTGCTAAATAAAGTTGGCTCAGGGTGAATGCACTCCACTGTCCCTATGATTGTTTTTTTACAGTATGAAGTCTGTGAAATAATAATAAGAAAATGTTTTTTTTTTTTTTTATCTTACAATGTTTTATTTCCTGTCAGATTCACTATGATGAATTCATCCCTATGTTTGAGAGCCAGTATCCGCAGTATGCATGGAAGCAGGTTGAGGTATGGCTTTGTGCACTTGTATCTACACCGTAGCACACATACAGCAGTCCTGTTGTGAATTGTTTTTTTCTTCAGTGTTAAATGAATTGATCATTTCTAAAGGTGTTGAGCATCAGTATTTGTGCATTGAGATCTAAAAAAAGCTCTCTCAGTTTAATATTGCATGCATTGTACCTTTTTGTGAGAATACATTATTCAGCAAGGATGCATTTAATTATTAATAATAAGGATTTCAGATGCATTCTGTTAAATACGGGATTATTACAGCCAAAATATTAAGCATTATTTTCAACATTGAAAATAAATGTTTCTTAAAGGGATAGTTCAACTAAAAATGAAACATCTGTCATCATTTACTCACCCTTTACTTTTGTCAAACCTTTAAGAGTTTCTTTCTTCTGTTGAACACAAAGAAGATATTTTGAAAAAGCTGGAAATCTGTAACAATTCACTTCGATAGTAGGTCAAACAAATACTATGGAAGTAAATGGTTACAGATTTCCAGCTTTTTTAAAAATATCTTTGTGTTTAACAAAGGAAAAGGTTTGGAAGCACTGGAGGGTGAGTAAATTAAGTAAAGTTTAATTTTGGGGTTAACTTTCTCTTTAAGCATAAAACCCAGCTTATTAAAATGATTTCTAAAAGATCCATGTGACACTGCCGACTGCTAAAATATTCATGTAAATTCAGTTTTGAAAGAGATGACATTTTAAAATATGTTACAAATTGAAAACAGTTTCTTTAAATTGTAATAATCTTTCACAATATTACTGCTTTTGTTGCATTTTTAATCAAGCAAATGCAGCCTTGGTGAGACTTTAGAGACATGAAGTCAGTTTTTGTTCCTGGTTATTATCAGTCAAGGAGAATGCAAAGAATTCATTATGTCGTCTTGCTTCAATCTGAGAAGTATGTAGATGTCTTGTTTTTTGTAATGTTATTTGTATCAGGTGGATATCTTTAGAGCATTTTCAGAGCTCTTCCAGGCAGCGTCCTGTCGTCCCGCTCCATACGGGATCTGTGCGTATCCCTCCTCCAGAGCCATATACGCCATCGACCTCATGCTGAAATGGGACCAGACCGCACAAGGTATAACCTGTAAACTGTCAAATCACAATATTCATGTTATATACATGTGGTGGCTGTGATTTTGCCAAGTACGATGCATACATTCAATTCACCTTTTTTTTATAGCGCTTTTACAATGTAGATTGTGTCAAAGCAGCTTCACATAAATGGTCAAAATAACTGGATCAGGGTAGTTCAGTTTTCAGTGTTTAAGTTCAGTTCAGTTTAGCTCAGTTCAGTGTGGTTTAAAATCATTACTGAGAGTCCGAACACTGAAGAGCAAATTCATTGATGCGTAGCTCTACCGATCCTGAACCATGCAAGCCAGTGGTGACAGCGGAGAGGGAAAAAAACTTCACCGATAGGAGAGTGAAGAAAAAAAAACCCTGAGAGAAACCACACTCAGTTCGGCACGACCATTTTAAGTTCTCCGCTGGCCAAAAGTCAAAAGTCTTGTGCAGAGCTGCAGTCTCAGCGGTGGAGGCTGGAAGCTGGCCTCAGCGAAGACTCGTCTGTCCCAGGAGCATCACTGGAATCAGTCTCATGACCTCGACACCCCCATAATCACCAGCGGAGCAGCAGCAGCTCAAAATACCGCCTGGTCAAAAATATAATCCCTACGCCTAAACCCAACCATAACTGTAAATTATTTCCAGAATCAAATGGATATAATAGTTGGATAAAAATCATGTACAAGTACATAACCCTAACTGTAAGCCTAAACTTAATACTGATTGGCTGTTTGGAATGATCAATATAGATGTTGATCCAGAAACATGTCCTACTTGGTGAAATCACACTAATCATATACATGTGCTGTACAGTGATGGCCGGAATCATTTGAATACAGACTTCAGATGTTTGTTTTGCTTTGGCCTTTATAATACTCGTTTATTTCACTGTTTTCAGTTGCAGAGCGAATGGGTTAAGATTCGTGTTGAAGTTCTCAGGAAGCATATTGAGACTATATCTTTAATATCAGCATGTTTCATGAACATTATGAAAATAAATCAAATGTTTTGAAGGCAGGATTTCCTTTGGTGGCAGGAATCCACATGTCCATCAGTTCACATTTTGTAAAGCAAAGAGAATGGAAAAATCATTATGAAGGTGTTCTGACTTTAATCTATTGATTATACATCTATTTATAATCTTTAACATTGCTTTCTCCATTATTATCTTACTTTTTTTTTTAAATCCTTTGTTAGAATTTTGACCAAAACCTATTTTACAATTAATTAGATTTATAATAGAACAACTTAGTGATGGAGTGGAGTTATATGTATTACTTTAGATTTATCATGATGTTTTTATCAGCTATTTACACTCGTTCTGTCATTCATTGGTGCATAAACAAAACAATGTGCAAGATGTTTTCTTTGTCTTTGAGCTGTTGCTCTTGTTGGACTTTTCCCAAGTCCTACCCGTGCTCAAAAGAGTGGTCAGAGGCAGAGAATAAGCTCAATCTTGTATTATGTTAAATTAATAAAGTTTTTTCAGAAGTCTGGGCAGTAGAACAGCCATCAATCAGGTGATTGGTCAATGCGAAGCGCTGTCTTAATGTATTCAAACATTATTTATCGACAACTATCTTTAGTCCCTCCCAGGGTATTTCTCTTTTCCTCTCCCGCAAATTGCAGTCAAGTTATTATCAGTAGTCAGGTAGACCACCTTCACTTCAGGTTGTGTGCCCGTTGAGTTATTAGAAATGAGTTATTAAAACTATGATCGTTAGAAATGTGAAAATCTTCTCTCTGTTAAACAGAAATTGGAAAAAAAAAAATAAACAGGGGGGCTTACAATGTTAAAAAATGTGTGTGTATGCCAATTGTCTTCAAGTGCATCAATCTATAAAGCACGGCTCTGAAATCACTTCCCAACAAAAATCATATGAAAAATATAAACTATTAAGACTTCAACTCATAGGGCTAAAGAAGAACCTTGCATATAACCTTGAAAAACAACAGTTGTTTAAGAACATTTATACCTTGACTGTGTCACAGATTTTGCTTTACTCGTTTTCTGTTTTGACTGAATATGAAGGTTGTTGAACAATTGTTAGTTCCCATATCGCTGTCGTTTGGTTTTCTTTTGACTGTTTGAAAGCAATTAGTTATCAGTGTTGTGTAGAGGTTTTTTTCAGCTTGTCTCTAAAAAGCAGCTGAGTCGAATGGTCATTCCAGTGCACAATAAAATTGAGAATCTTTCTTCACGCATAATAAGTCTAAATAGATGTTCTATTGATATTCTGCCTCTGCCCAGCCCCAACTTTCCATTTTGAGGAAAACTTTAAGGCTTTAAACTTTAATGCCATCATTTTTCTTTCTTTTAGGGGAACGTGTGATGCAGCCTCAGATACTGGAGGTGAATTTTAACCCAGATTGTAAGAGGGCCTGTCGGTATCATCCCAGCTTTTACGACCACATGTTCCAAACGCTGTTCCTGGATCAGGCAGAAGAATGTCCTGTCAGTCGCATTTTATGACCACTCTAAATTCCAACTCTAAAGATGGTCTCTGTTTACTAAATAAAGATTGCTAAGCACCTTTGACACTTATTTTGTATTTTTCCTAGAATGTTTTTGCCATTATAAAATATCATGTTGTATTCTTAAATGAGTTTTACATGCATTTAATTATATAGAGTTATACAATTATATTATATTATCATATATATATATATATATATATATATATATATATATATACATATATACATACATATATACATACATATATACATATATACATAATGCGGACTTCTGTTTGATTTTCACTACACCACTCAATGAAAAACATGAATAGCCTATGTATTTTCTTGTCTAAAAAGGACACTAATGGACAGACAGTCTTGTGATGGAACTGAGAGCTAACAATATGACTATTTAGTGAAACAAAATTACACTATTTACCATTGCTTATTTTTTAAGGTTTTCATAAGCAAGTTGTTTGCAATTTCTTATATTAAGCTAGACTGAAGGATCGATTTCAGCATGTTTTGTATATATATATATATATATATATATATATATATATATATATATATATATATATATATATATATATATATATATATATATATATTTGACCTATAGTTGACTTAAATAGCATAGAACAAATCTACATATTTGCTTTGGAAATATTTAGCTCCTTAAGGAAAAAAATGAGTGGGCTTTTAAATCAACGGCTGAGGTAAGTGGTTTCATTCTTTTTAAGGAGTGTCCAGATTTACAATTAAAAGTAAGTAACGGCTATAAATCTGTCTAAATATCAGCAGATAACGATTCGACTTCTTTACGACCCCACACTTCCAACTCTTCATGGGTCAAGTCTGCCTACTCACATCCCCAAGTGATCCAGGTAACTAATTCACAATTAGTCCTTTGCAGTGGAGAAACCCTAGCAAAGCTGTGAAAGTATCCTGTAAGGTTGTTCAAATGAAACCAGGAGTAAGTGGGGTAAAGATCTAACAGTAAATATTTAACAATAGCATGTTTCGGTGCTTGCATTGCAGATTAAACAAGCACTGACTAACCCATGGTGTTAAATACCTGTAAATGTACCGGTCATATACATATTAAAGAGTATTTGGCGGCAAATTGGCGCAAATGGTAATGGGGATTGCCCCTCCTTATCACCTTCAAATGGTTGAAAGTATCACTACAAGGCTACTGGAGAATGTTGTTTCCCAGCCCCCATCAAAACATGCAGACAACAGCAAAAGAAAAACTGGCGCAAGCTAAAACGTAGAAAGCATCTCAAGAGTTGATCAATCAGTCTAATTAAGAAGCACACTACTTAATCTAAATTTTCACTAAGCTAGTACCCAGCAAGCATTTTTGTTTGTTTTTAAAATATGTCTAGTAGATGTCTAAGGGACGTCTAAACATAGTCGTCTTGGCTAAAACAAGACTAAATTTGGGCTGTCAGTGAATGACAAAACTACAGTAGTCATCAGATTAACAGAAATGGATGACTACACATTTAAAGTCTGTCTAATCAGTCTTTTTGACAACTAGTCTAGTTTTGGGCTGTTCTTAGTTGTCTATTAGATATTTACTGACAGCCCAGGTTTAGCCTTGTTATAGCTAAGATGTCTACATTTCGATGTCTATAAGACATCTATTAAACACAAAATTGTTAGCTGGATACTTTGGCTGCAAAACAAAGTTTGATTTCCATTTAGCAACACAATCATATTGGCTAATTATTTGTTTCTTGGTCTTGCTCTAAAGCAACAGGTAAACAATTGTGAAGCCTTAACAGTTAACAAATGTATGACTTTTATTGCATAATTGGCATTAGGATGAAATATTGGATATCTTGGATATATACTTTCATTTTTGGGTATATTTCTGGGTACAAAAACACATCCCCAGTTTTTATACCCAGTGTAAAAAGATTAATGGATGCAAAAACTGGTGGTGGATGAAGACATTCCTCCCAAAAATGTGTAAAGCGCTTTGAGTGTCTAGAAAAGCACTATATATAAATGTAGGGCATTATCATCATTATTATTATTATTATTAAAAATTAATGAAATGAATGCAAAAATGCAAAAAAAAAAATCATAAATTTTATTTAAAAACATTTTTATTGTCACAAATATGTACAGTTTGCATTGAGAGTCAAAATATTTACCAAACACATCAAATAATATAATCAAAAGCACAAAAATCATCCATAAGGATGTGAAAGACTATGTGAAAACGTTTATTGTTGTTTATCAGTGTCACTAGTATTCATGTTTTCTTTACTTTCTATAAATGCTTCTTAACTGGTAAAGCTTTTCCCTATTTCCCTCCTCTCTCCAAAGGAAACTCCACTTGAGTGACCTCATCCTTCAGGAATTTCTGTTGCCGCCTCAGCACAAAGAGCTGTAAGTGAAATTTGAGATGCATTCATGTCATGTGAACAAGCCAAAAGTATACTATCATAAAAAAAACATGTAAACTCCTTAGACAATTAGAATTTAGATCACTAGTTACATGCCAAAAGAAAAAAACAACAACAACAACAATCAGTATTTGTCAAATGGGTTCACACATTTAGATTTTGAACTCCAAATGCCAACCTGAGCTGCAGTCTATTTCTGCTTCTTGAGGCTCGACAAGAGTAATCTTTCAGGTTCAGATGACCTGAAGTAAGTCATTTACTCTGAGACTCGTTTAGAGATGAATAATGCATGAGCATACCAAATGGGCTCTGATGCACAATGTAACCAATGTCAGATAATCGGGTTGAAACAAAATGTACATTTATTACACTGTTTTGAATACTCTAGTATCGATAAAAGAATACCATAATTTCATAAATAATAAGCAGTGATATTAGATCACAAATTCCTATTAATTAAAGGATATTTTGACAATCAAGTAAACCCAATTAACTATTAGAGAGAGTTTAGGCTACATTAAAAGTCAAGAGTAATTCAATTAATCAAAGAGTGGAATTAAACTAGGTAAAGTAGAATAAAATAAGCCTTCAAAGTTTTCATTGAGGAACTTTTGGCGTCTTTATTGAACTTCAGAGTTTGTATTTAGGAGTTTTTGGTGTTTTTAATGACTTAAATGAACTTTAGAGTTTGTATTAAGGTTTTTGTTGGCGTCTATAATGACTTCAGAGTTTGTATTGAGGAATTTTGATGTTTTTAATGACTTTAATGAACTTCAGAGCTTGTATTAAAAACATTTTGATGTTTTTAATGATTTTAATGAACTTCAGAGTTTGTATTGAGTCGTTTTTTGTGTATTTACTGACTTTCATGAACTTTAAAGTTTGTATAAAGGATTTTTTTCCATCTTTAATGGCTTTAGAGTTTGTATTGAAGATTTTTTGTTGGTGTTTTTAAATACTTTAATGAACTTCAGAGTTTGTATTGAGGATTTTTTTAATGTTTTATTGACTTTAATGAACTTCAGAGTTTGTATTGAGGATTTTTTTAATGTTTTATTGACTTTAATGAACTTCAGAGTTTGTATTGAGGATTTTTTTTGTGTTTATAATGACTTTAATGAACTTCAAAGTTTGTATTGAGGAATTTACTGTGTCAATAATGACTTTATTGTGTGTCTTTAATGACCTTATTGCCTTATATGTACTTTATATGAAGTGTGTGATTTTATCACCTTATATTGTATTTCTAACGGTCTTCTCACTATTCTATGTGTGTTTGACTCTGAATCTTATCCCGTGTGTGTTTTACTGTCATATTCTTATCTAAATATCTTATCTGATCATAAAGTAGCCATTGTCGGGTTGACTGTGTTGGGGGAAATTGTCCTCAAAAATTATTTTCTGAGTTCATAAATAAATGAAACAAGTCAGAAGTCCTATTTCAACCCAATATGTTGTATAACGGGATTCATATTTCTCACTGTCTGTGGTTTTTATCTCATATTCCCAGTGGCATCCTGCTTCTCTCAGCAAATAATAGACTCTCATCTGTAATTAGGAGCGAATGTATATTGTCTGTCTCTTGTTCTTCTACTTTATGGCTGCACTGCTTAGAGCGTGCTTTTCTGTAAGTTCTTGCTGCTGCTGAATAATGGCTTCTTTATGTTTAAATGACATCAGTGGGAGCTAGTAATGATGTTTAAATGAGATCTGTGAGATATGATGTAGCTGATGCATAGCATGCGCTTATCTCGTCATGAGTTGCATATTATCTGTTGTTGTCTCCATGGTTTTCTCATAGAATTAATAACTATCCTTGTGTTTTATTGGGCATTGTTTCTGTCTTGGTCAGTACATATTTTATCTAAATGCATTGCATACGCTTTATCAATCTGCAGCGCATGCACAAATTCTCCTTAATATATAATATGTGTTAAACATTAGATGAATGATTTACTGTGCTTCACTCTTTAGGTTCTGCATGTCTGTGTGTCTCATCAGTCGAAGTGTTTCTGCAGGTTTTTAAAAGTTTAACCTACACTCACGAGCCAGCAACTCAATGTATTTATATCATGTAGACATGGTCAAGATGATCTCCTGCAGTTCAAACCGAGCTGACCCCAGATC